GCCGCGCGGACATTAAAATACAATTTTCCAAATGAATAAAAATAAGAAGAAGAAAGAAAAAAAAACGACGGAAAAAACGGACGTATGAAGCACGAGGGGGTTTTATTCGGGTAATGGGCTAGTACGCTCATTCTTCATAGTAAGGAAGGCAGCGCGGCGGCAGCACGCGGGTTATAGCGTCGACTTGGATGGGTAGAGAAAGAGAGAAACAGCAGCGCAGCTGCTATATATAAAGCAAGAAAAATATCAGTACAGAGGGAAAACCTCCCCAACCCCCCGGTGTATACGTATATATGTATGCGTAAAGAGAACGGACATCCCGGACGTGTTCAAATTTGCAGGCCATTAACGCGTGTATACCTCGTGTGCCGCACCGACACCGACGCCGACGCCGAGACGCGAGAAACACAGTATAACACGGCGTATATATGGTGCGAAAGCTCCCAGCTTGTATATACGTATGAAGCTCGCACGGGACGCCGCCGTCGCTGTCGCCGCGCACCGACACTAGGTTGCAAGCCCAGCGTGAGTTTTCGTAGATATGGTACACAGTATATACGTAGATATAGCTTCGTTTGCCCAACTTGAGCCAGCTTGTGTTGTGTGTGTGTGTGTGTGTGTGCCACACTGGGGTTTTTGCGCGCAGATAGTGGCCCATCTTATATACGGAGCATCGAGTATATACCGTGTAAGCGAGGATCGCGTGGCCGACAGTCCGCGCCGCAACCCCATACGTACAATACGTATAGAGTAGGATCGCAGAGGCGCGTGCAAAATTACGCCAAGATCGCGTGCTAAACGATACACCGGTGCCGCCGTGCGCGTGTAGCGCGCCGCGTATTATATACGTAACGATCGACTTTGCCCATTGCGGAGCAGGGGCGCCGCACCGCAGCCGCAAGCTCACGTGTGTGTTGTGTTCGGCTCGCGCGCTCGCGCGCCCAGCTCCTCGAACTTTCATCACCTACATATACACGCGCGCGTGTAGACGCCTCGTTTAACCCTTCGTTTTTTCGTTCAAGACCAACTCGTGTGTGCAGCCTTGTAGCGAAACGCGCTGAGCTTGCAAGCTCCCGTATACACAATGTGTATATGGTAGTAGCAGTAGTGTTAAGGGATTCGATGTGTAGTCGTCGTCGTCGTCGTCGTTCGCTCAGAGACTCGTACACACGTATAGACAGGCACGCACACGAGTTCCGTGTATCGAATTAAAAGCCAGGCCCCGAATTTGTCGGTGCGACTCGATGCCAACACACACACACACACACACACGATCGTCGCACGTTCTTTGTGTTTTCGCTGCTGTGTACGACACGTATCGAAACACGTCCAGCTATGCCATGGAGCGGAGGAGCTTTGGCGCGCTCACGTAACGCGCGTATTATATCCCGTAGTATATAGATTTGGTGCGTCCGGAACCAGAAGGGATATGCACGTTGTGCGGAAAGGGCCGATACGTAGAGAGAGAGAGAGAGAGAGAGAGAAACTGGCCTCGTGAGCGCGCGCTCGCGCCCCCCGACAGAACGTCGAAATGCAGTGCACACGCGGCGTGGATACAATACATCCAAATACGTACGTATAACAACGTATATATAGAAGCGAAACACCGATAAGCCGGAAGTTGTTGAGCGAGTCTAGGCGCTCTTATCAACGATTTCAGCGTACACATATATCCCCTGCTACACCGAGGCCGGGGGGGCCGGCGGAACAAGGCAGCATATATGAACATCGGTGTACGTATAGCTACCGTATACGTGTGCGCCTGCTATACACGATTGAGAGTGTTAAAATGAGTTTCGAGAGCATCTGCCAAGCTCGAGCTTTTATATGTGCAACAACAGCGGCATAGCTAAGCTATATACGCGCGCGCGAGCAACGAGCAGTAGCGCGCTTATTCGTTCAATCTTTACATATGTTTACGCGCGCGAGCTTGCGAGCTTGCGAAACGCGGCGCCCAGGCATTGATGCATCTTTACTATATTTACCCATGCGCGTCGAGCGCGCGTTTCACGTGACTGCTGTACGTTTAATCTTTCTCTCGTGTGCTATAATACAGCTCCTCTCTCTCCCTCTCTCTCGTTTACGATCGCAAGTACGAAAAGTCCGCCGCGCACACGCGTATAAACGTATAGGTACATGCAGCACACTTTTCACTCGAAAACTCTTCTTTCGACAGCTGCGCTGCTGTTGCCGCTGCTTTACGTGCACGCGCATAAATGTGTTACATCGTTTATTTTCGGTTGCGTGAATAACACATTTCCGTCAGAGAGCTGTAAAATAATTACCGCGCGTACACGATCCTCTAGTCGCTCTCGTTCAATTATGTTGATTATATAGTCATACATATAGTATAGCCCCGCTCGACGACGACGTGACGAGAGCTCGTGCCGACGTTTTTCAATTTTTCACAGCTCCAGCCAGAGAGAGAGCGAGAGAGCGAGAAAGCTGTAATAATGCTTTTTCGAAACATTACAAACGTGTTCGCGCGGTCGAGGCGAGAGAAAGAGAGAGCGAGCAAAAGTATATATAATAATAATTTTTCGGTAACGAGGATTTATCGTCGAAAAACGGAGCTAGGGCTCTTTTCTTGCATTCGCTCGTGTACGCGCGCTCGTATATGTACGGGAAACATTAATAAAGTCAGGCGAGAGGCGTTGAGGAGGGTGGGTTAGAACAGGAAAGAGAGAAAAAAAAGCAGAAAGAGACAAAGCACAGGCGCGCGCGCGAGGAAACCGAGTGACAAATAGAGCAGTGTTAGGAGTGTAGTCGTTTATTGGTCGGACGATTGCCGTTGTGTGCGTTTGTGTGTGTGTGTGTATGTATGTATACGGCGCCTCTCGCTCTCGTGCTCAGGCAAATAATCGCATTTCCTCGACTCGTGGGCTCGTTTTTTTTTCTCTCTCTCTCTCTTTCACTCCCTCGAGAAGCTATTGCGCAGATACTTCCGAGAAGTCAAGCTTGAAAGAATACGAGAGACAACGGCGAAAAACAAACGCCCCGAAGAAACAGAGCGAGATAAGGTCAGGGTTTCTCTCTCGACCATGCAAACAACGTATTCAAGTATGGGCGAAGAAAAAAACAACAAGCTTGCGATTGTACGAGTCGAATCGCTACGTCGAGAATTTATATTAACACGGAAAAGAGATAAGTACGCAACGATGAACCGAGTATCGGTAATAAAAATTTACTCGAATCACTTGCTCGGTGAATTCTTTTACTATTTCGAAATTCAATTAGAGCTTTATTTCTTATTGAAAATTGAAAAGCGAGATTTTAAGCTAATTGACACGAGAATTAAAAAAGAAACTCTGATATTTGTCATACGTAATGCATAATTTCAATTTAGAGTTGAAGAATTTCAATTATCGTAATTAAATTCATTCGACTAAACGCTCGCGAAACTAACTTTGCTTTTATTGCGAATGCCGAAGTGATACAGATGTGAATTTGTAACATGACAGTCATCAAGGTAATTGAAAAAGGTGAAAACTTTATCACCTGATACTGGATATTACGAAAATACTTTCGTCTTTGTTGAAAATTCAATGAAAAACTAAACGTTAATAATGGTAACAAACGTGATTGTAGATAATTTCCAATTTCCGAATTCAAAATGCCTCGATAGAATAAAATGATAATGAATAGCAGATCCACAGAATCGGAAATGCGAGTTTTCATGAAACAATAAGGGAAGATAAACTGATAATATATACGTTACCGACTCCTTTATAACAACATGATAAGATTTCTTCTGTCGCGGCATACTTGATCTCATTTTTTTCTCGAAACTAAATCAATACTTCGAAACTGGTTCAAGCTTATTAAATATCCCCCTGAATCCGTGATAAACTTGTTAACTTTTGCTTACCGGTGTCTCTTAAAAATTACGCGAAAAGAAACTAATTTGATCAGTTCAGCTGCATGTACAGCGTGCATATATTTATCGAGGAAAAAAATCGTTGCTCGTGATACAGCATCGTATAATAATGGTTAGCGCGAGCGACATACCTACGGAACGTATAAAGCAAAAAGATATTGCCTGCTTTCCTCGATATTCAGGCAATATTCACTTATTCACTTTTTCCCTTCCGTCTCTCGTCGTATCTCTCTCTCTCGCTTTTCAGTTTAGCCGTTATATAGGAACAAACGCGTTTATATCTAGCAGCAACAGCGGCGACGGCAGTAACAGCCGTAGCGGCAACAGCACCAGCAGAGAGAGAGAGAGAGGAGCTTTCGACGATGTTATCTCGTTACAGGAAGTTTCAACGTGCGGCTCCTCCGTATAAACGTGTATATCTATACTCGGCTGGGGAAAACGCGGCTCGGCACAAACTTTCGTTGCTTGCGAACCTATGTCATGATTACAATTACACGGTCAACTCACGGCAAATTTTCGCACACCCCACACTGTACGCGATTTTTTTGCGTACTTTCTCTCCTTCGCCTCCTCCTATTCTCTGCAAGCTCTTATTATTCTTTTCTCGCTTTTCACGATTATTGGTGCTAAGCCGACTTTTTCTTTGTCTTTTTATTTTTTTCAGCTTAAAATTTTCAAACCAAACTCTACGTATACGTCTATGTATCGCGTGTATATGTGCTTGCGTGCGCTTGCGTGTCCCGTTGTATGCAGAAGCTTTTCGTGAAATTCAATTAAAAGATAGCGCCGATTCCAAGGGTTTATTCGCCCGTGTCAATTGGCATTGCGTTTGATCATTCATAAGCTTTTTATTATATATATTCGGCGAGGAACCGTCGAGGTCATCGATTCGACGGATAGAAAGCGCGACGATACTTGGCTTAAAATTTCGACGCTAATTTGTGATATCACTTTTGCTCCCCAAGCTTGCCTAGGTCAATCTCTCGGCGAGATCAGCTGCGCTGAACTATACCATCGCGGTGTTTATTTAATTTTTTTTTTATTTCGGTATTTTTTTCTTCTTTTTTTAAACTCTCGAGCTCGCGATCGAATCGATTTCTGGCTCTCCGATAAGAGTACTTACCTCGGTTGAAACTAAAGCTCATAAGCTTTCGGCGAAACAGTTGAATTGTTGTTGAATGGAGTGAAAAATTGCTCTATACTACTGCCGCTGTGCGATGCGGGTTGATTGTAGGAATTTTTCGCAATAATCAAACGATTACAGCTGCATTGTTATTCACTTAACTGCACACTTGAACGAGTGTTTTACCTCAAATCAATAATTCATCGATCGGATGAGAAGCAAACTGTATCTTGGCAATTAATCACAAGATGAAAATTAACTGATATTTAGTATTTACTCCTATTTAGAGATATATTTTAAAATATAAAAAAAATAACTAATCACTTCGATTATTGAAGTTTAATCCTTCAATTTTATCAATAGAATATTATTCAAACCTATAATATAAACTAATCAACAATAACAATAATCATCACAATAACCAACAAAAAAATAATAACAAACGTCGACACTTTTTTCTGATTTCAGAACTGAAGAAAATAAACCGCAGGCATCCAATAACCGCACTGGAGAAAGATCGCGGCGCGCACGTGTCGTCGTCCCCGTCGTGGATATACACAATCGTCGCGGGCTAGCGCACGATAATCCACGCTCTCTACGGTACGTATATTATATATAGTACACGACGATATACACGGAGCTTTCGCTGTGAGTAAAGCTCGACGGTTCGTCGGAAACTGACTCGGTCCGCGAAGCTTGCGCGACGCGCACGGCACAGCTTCGAGAGAGTGAGCGAGAGAGAAAGAGTCAGGCAGAGCAGCAGAAGCTTTCAGGGGGCGGCCCGACGAGCAGCGTCGTCGGACGAGCGTCGCGTTGCTCCGCCTTTCGGCGCGAGTGCAGCGCAGTGCAGTGCTGCCTATAGTGCCGCTTGCGCGGCTCAAGAGCGCTGCTCTATACTCGTCTTTGCTCTCGCTCTAGGCGCGCACCAGAGACTTTTTTGTACGTATTAAGCACTTGCATACACCTATACGAATTTTTAAGATTTATGCATGCGTGTTCGTATCTAATTCACGCATATAAGTATGCACGGAATATTTGGTATGTTCTGCTATGCGAGAATGTCCGAACTTGCGATGTAGCCGGCTTCTGATTGCGACATTTATCTCTATCTCTCACTCTCTCGACAATATTTTGATGTCGTGTAAGACCGCCCCTTCGTACCATTTTCCGATATCCTCCACATACACAAATGAGCGAGTCAACTGCATCTAAAAGACTCTGCTCTGGAAATGCGGATATGTGAGCAAAATTCGCCGAGTCTATAAGTTGAAAGATCAGTTTGTAATCGGTTTAATTGCTAAAAAAAATGTCATTGATGCTCGTAGATTACACACTTGCCTATGTATGACTGATTTGAGCAAAAAGTCCCAACGTCTTTATATTCTTTAACGTCTTTAGTAAACATAGTTGTTCATTATGTACCGTTTTTATAACAAAACCGCAATATATTGCAAAATTTCAATAATTGCAATATCAACTTTGCAAAATCGCCTCTCGACTACTATTCGATAGTTGTCATTCATTGACCGGTTGGTGCATTAGTTGACTTCAATGCGGGCAGCTCGAAGAAATTTCCATTGCTCGTTGCGGTCGCGAGGTACTTCGGTATACAGAGACGAGGGAGTCACAATCAAATCCGAAACAGAACGATGAGAGACCCATTCTTGTCGAGCTCCCAGTCTTTCTCCTCTTTATATATTTGTTTTTTTTTCACTAGCACATGGAACATGATATATACACTACTGAAAAAACTGTTAAAAATTTAGTTGGCTTAAGTTGGCAGAGTTGAGTTAAACAAGTGTTGATTTAATTTTTTTATTTAAAAAGTACAAAAATGCCGAAACAGTCAATCACTTCCTCTATTTTTAAAGCGACGATTAACAACAAGATTTAATTCTTAAATTTAAATATATTAATTCAAAATTAATATTTCAATATTCATTTAATTTTTGCGTTAATTGTGTGCAAATTATTTGCCGGTTAGTTAATTGTGTTCATATAAACGCACAGAATCCCATGTGTCAATCGATAAACAATTAACTCACACATAATGTTAAAAAAAATACGAAAGTTCAATCATAACTATAGTTAATCTCTGCCATTAGATGTCGAATACCTTTATCTTCAAATCTGCAAGTTAAAATAATATTAATAGCCCGTGGCTAATAATAATGTCAATGGACAAAGTGCGCCCCAACAAGACAGTTCATTCTAGACAAGCACTAGACTCAGGATGAAGGAAGATTTGGACAAGCAGAGGGCCTTATTGTAAAGCGTACAACTTTTTCCTGATTAGATAGGAATATGCACAAACAATAATTCGTGTTAATAGGAGAGGAATGAAACAATGATTTATAAAAGAGGGAAAGTGACGAAGAAAAGTGTGCGCTCGAGGATAATATTTGAGGTGTCGAAACACATTGCAGAAGATCCCAAGGAAAGAGAAAAAGAAGGAGACGGCACAAAAATACATAAAACGAAGAAGAAGAGGATAAAAAAGGGGGCAAAGCAGGGCTATAGCAGATACGTAGCGCTGCTGCTGCTGCACCACTAGCTGCTGCAGCATCGCGTAAGTTGCGCGCTTGCGGGGGCGCGCTATAGGTTAAGTAAGTGGTTAAGAGCCGCCGCCGTTGCGCCGCGCCGCGCCGCGCTCTGTACGGAGAGGAGAGTCCCCCGGTGTTTCCACCGGTAATGGAATAAAAACACTCGACCTCGATGTCTCCGAGTCGCATCAGCAGCGTACCTACCACTGCTGCTGCTGCTGCTGGTGTCGCGCTCGAGAGCCCTCCGCCCGCGTACGCCACTTTTCTACTTGTACATCCTCTTCTCTCTCGCTCGCTAGCTCGTCATCGCTCCACCTACCCGATATGCCGCCTATACATACCACTAGCACTCGTCTAGCTGTCTACTTTTTTATCTTCGCTTCTATATACTGACACTGTACCGCGGCTGCTGCTTTCTTTCTTCATCTTTTTTATTACATCTCAACCTACTGAGCTGCATGGCTGTTCTCTCTCTCTCTATCTCTCTTACTTACATACTCAGGGTGTGCGTATATGCTCTTGCAAGTTTAACAAAAAAAGCACACGTAGCTTTAACTATATATGAATAAAGCTGCCTACGTGCTTGTCACAAAATTCTTCTTAAATTTTTATAATCTCACGCTTAACTTGGTTAAGAGCATTTTTACCGTTTTGCTCTATGTAGCGACCAGTCTTTAACTTTGACACGTGCCATGTACTTAACATATAGTGAAAATTAATTTCATGCTTTATCGTAAGCTCTTAAGATTTGGATGTTTACAATTTCATATTTTCTTGTTATCTACTATGGGCATACCTTTGTACATTGTTACGAATATTTCTAATGTCAATCACTATCTTTAAAAAATTACTAAATTAATTGATTAAAAAGTTTGCAAAAGATCGGTCGGTCTCCTTAAATAATTTCTTAAATGTGTCGGAGCATTACAAAAGTTGATTATGTTTTCAGTTTCACCATCATCTTCGTCTGAATCTCTAGTCAATTTTTTTATGGGCCGATCATGCCTGGTTTTTGGATCTAGTGATTCCTTGAAACGCTTTTCAACGTCGGACGTCTTCTCGCTCAATTTCACTTTTTCATACCAATACCGAACGTTACCGTGACAAATTTTTAATGATATAATGTATTTCATTATTACAATTATAATTTATAATCTGACATTCAATTTACTAGCTGCGTATATTTTTTCTACGATTTCAAGTTCGTTTCAACTTGTCTCTACAGGTTTCATGTAATTTTTTTATAAACAAACTATGATCATAAAAAATTTTTTATAATCTATTAAGATGATGGATTGTTTATGACAATTCTTCTGTTATAATTATACTACAAATATTAAGCGCATTTTGAATGACCCGAACAGATCATTTAGATCTATTTCCAAATACGATTGTAACGTTCATTTATGCTTCCACCGCTAGATGGCGAGTACCTTTATCTTTAAATCCGCAAGTGGCAAAGTAAAAATATTCGTATAAGTCCAGAAAAACAATGTAGCGCGCGCGTATAATTGAACTCTGTTCAGCAGGGCATCCGTACACAACTCGCTCCGGTCCTTACTCTCTCAACGCTCAAACTCGAATCATGGTCGTCTGCACAAGTGCATCCGACGATCCTCGCTCCGAATTTGCAACATGTAACCGGGCATGGGCCACTCGTGCGGTCACGTGGTACTACGCTCGTGAAAGGCCACAGTAGTACCGGATACAATCGTCGCAACTCATTCACACATTCACGTGAAAACTCCGAATTGGACGCGTCTATGACGCGTCGCTTACGTTATTCGACGTTTGCCTATAGCGCAACGTCACAATTCTACAATTCTATGAATAATAGATTTATAGCTATTTCTAGTTCGTTTGTAAAATCAATTTGGAGTTTAATGCTATCTTTTCCCATTATATCACATACTTTTAGAAGTATATTTTTATTTTCCTTGGCTTTCTGTAAAGCTGTTTCAATAGTTTGAATAAACTCTAGCTTGAACTTACAAGGAGACCATGCCAGCTCCGGGTCATGGATTAGCTCCAAAATTTTTTTGGGGTCTCTAGTACCCAATCCTGAAACTCTCTGTGCTTAGTTTGATCTCATGGGCCTCAGGGCCCATTTCTTAGAGGATTTTACACATTATAAAAAAATCTTTGATATTTTCGATATCGATATAGAAGTACTTAAATGAAAAAATGCAACGATCAAAAGTTTTAAAATTTTTCAAAGAATTTGCTTGAATTTTTGCAAAATTTTTGGGACCATCTACCTCTTTAAGTCCTAAAATCTATAAAAAAAGCGTCAAATTTGGGCCTCTTGAATCTATTACGGCGTACTGTACCAGTTGCTTTCAGTCCATTTTACTTCAAATGTACGAGTAAATCAGGACTTGTAAAAAAATTATCCATGTACAAATGATAGACGAGCTAGTTTTCTTTTTGAAACTTCTATCAATAAATTCTATACCATTTGCAGCACAACAGTGGAACCAAGAGCACATGAATGTAATTTTTCATTTGAATTGAATTTTTATTCCACAATAAATATCTAAATCGAACAAGTACCCATTGACATCACACAGTCCCCACAATTTCAAACCATATCTATCTGGTTTTGGAGGCAAGTACTGCCTCAAACTAGTCCAATAATTTCCAAAATCCAAAATAGAAATTTTTATAAAATGGACATATCCAAAAATTTCCAAAATCATCCAAAAAATTCTGAAAAAATTTACACGTGTTTTTTTATCAATTCTAAGCACTTTTTTTCGATAACATTTTTTCGTAAAGTCCATTTTTATCGAATTAAAAAATACCAAAGCTTTTTTTTACATTTTCGGCTAAAATCAGC